CGACAAAAATAATATTAATAAATAATAAATATTTCTATTGCATGATTATGAATTAAATATTTAAAATATTTAAATATCTTTTGTCTAGATTACATATTAATATAATTGATCATTGATCACTAATTATTCATTTTCTGACTTAGGGAATAGGGCCACATTAATTTGAGAAAAATTTAGAACGGTTCATCCACTTGACACTTCATCCCACTCCAATAACTATTACATTGAAATGAACAACAGGTTTATGACATTCTCCATTGTCTATAAATGTAAGTAATACTAATAATTGATCATAAATCAACTAGTTTTCTGAACTAATATTTATTTTCAAAATTAGCTATACTAATTTCTTTAGAAATATTTTCTTCCTTTAATAAAATTACCAATACTAACCAAAATAAATAAACAGCACTCAACAAGTATACTCATCAATTATGTACCTACTCACAATTTTCATACAGATGAAATGTTGTTTATGGGTAAATCATAGTCATAATACTCATAATCAAAACCAAACAAGGACAGGATAAATGATAATCTGAAAAAAAATTGCTAATAACTACGGGAGAGGTAACCCTAAGCTCAGAGGAGGTAAATCCTGGAAATGGATTTACCAGATGTACCTGAGTGGGATACAGTAGTTTTTACTCTATCTCATATAGGAGGTGTTTATTATTATTTAAAATGTATTCATGAAAAGGAGATATTGAGTGAGCTATCAAAGAGAGTACGGGTAGAGTTTTGGAGACGTAACGACACATTAAGAACAGAGAATAAAATTAATCAAAGATAGGACAACTAGAATAAGATAAAGATTTTAGGAAAAAAAAATATTAGGGTAAAAATGTGAGCATTTAAAATTAAGCTGACTTCATAGACAAAATTTAATTTCACATATTTGAGGGTTAAGGTATATTTTGTTATTTAAGCATATAATTTGTATATTTTTTACACTATTAATAGAAAAATAACTTTTTAATCTTTATTTTGTCCTTTTTATTATAACAACATGGATTAACTTATATTCATTGATCAATAGTTAATGGTAAATTATCACAAAAAAATTGTTGATAGTCAAAATGTACATACATGTATTTTTTTAAATATAGCTTTATTTTCAAAGCTGTAATTATAACAGCTATGTTGCTCTCAGAAAAGAAAATAAATAAAAATAACATAGTTTCTAAGTGATTTTATTTCTTGCTATCATATATTTAACATGGTTAAGTGATAAGTATAAAGTATTGCTCAAACTCACCTGACAAATTTTAATCCTTTTTTTTACATGGCTCCTTCGCGAATCTAAAACCATATTGATATACATTTTTCATTAAAACTCATTTTATGTTGTAAATATTGAATTTTAGCAAAATATGTAAAAATAACCTGATCAAAAAGTTTTCTACGTTATTGAAATTATTTTACATATTTTAGGCACATTTTCAGCTTAATTTAACTTATATGCTTGTATACAGATAATAATATCAATATAAAACAATTTAGTTGGACACTAAGGTTTAAAGATAATTATCTATACCTATCTATATTTTAATCTATGGGCATTAACATTGGTTGTTAACAAAATCATTTTAATATTTTTAATTAGGTACCGAATAAAAGATAATCAGGTTTTAAATTCAATATAATAAATAGAATTTAATACAATGTTTACAATAACCCTCAGAAAATAACTGCCAACTGCTTATTGTGAAACAGCATTCGTTCTTAATAATTATTAATTAATACTACAAATACTTCATAATCTATAAAATAACATTGACAATAATTAATTTTGTGACTGCAGTGACAAAAATTACAATTAATTCAAAAAATTACTGTAACTTTTTAGTTTTAATAATTTTAATATATTTGTTTTATAAATAAAACTAGACATTTTACCAAAAAATATTTTATCATAATAAAATTGTATTAAAAAAAATCATTAGTGAGATGAGTATTTATGTTGCTATTCGAGTTTCTTTGACTTATGTTAAGCATACTCACCATACTCCTTTTTAAATTATTACAAATATATAACTTAGAATATTGATTAAAACTAAGGACAGTTTGGCTCCAAACTTTGTGTAGATAATCAAATATTAATCAACTTAAATCAATYGCTGACACTGATATTCTAAAAAATGTAAGTTATTCACAAACTTCCTAATATAATACTTTTCTAGTATTTACTTAATACTCATACTCACTGTAGCCTGTAGGTAATTTTCATAAAAATGATGTAATAATTAATTTTCAAAATTTTGAGTAAACAAAAGTTTTTTTGGATAGGTATATCAATTTATTATACTAAAAATAATGTAGACAGCTTCAATTAAGCTTCTATCCACAATTTTCTGTTGATTATTATTTTAAATATGAAAAATTGAATTAAAACTAAATATAACATTTAAACTTTGTAAAAAGTAAAATAGTAACTAAAAGTAAAATTAAACTGWTAAAAAAGTATTTTTTGAGTAAATAGGTATTCTTATTAATTTATTATTGTCATTGATACATAAGATTTCTAGCACCATCCATTTCTGATGCTACAGTAATTCCTGAAACATGTCTGTGACTCTGTCCGCCAATTTCCACTTTACATTCAGGACAAACCGATTTCTGCATTGGCCCTCCACATTCTGTAACACAATAAATATGGCCATTCGCACATTTGCACCAATGCCCTTGAGCTTGGATGCCTCCTGAAAAACTGGTTGACATAGCGGCATGAATCATTTGTCTCTCTTTATCAGTTATAATTGTAAGCCCATCAAATTTCGCATCAATTAACTCAGTCAACATTTGTATTTCTGTGTCTCTGTCAACTGTGTATATTTTACAAGACATTATTAGAGCTTCCATATTGCCTACTAAGTCTTTTAACTCTGCTGCATGAGAATTGTACATATCATTTTGTACCATCTGAAATTTTGTGTCAGACATCATCTCAAATAAACTCATAATCCTTGCGCCTCGTGCCATCTCCATGTTAATATCAAATTTTTGCTGATTTGACAACTGGCGCGCATAAGTGAATGCAACAGAAAGAATCCACTCAAAGTGATTAATAATTGATTCTTTTCTTTGTCCATCTTTGATTTTTTGAATTCTATTTTTATACTTTGAAATAGATTTAAACAAATCAATGACAAAATTTAATGATTCAATGTCCTTGGCAGGTAAAGTGAACTTTGAACGTTTATTACTCAAAGATCTTAATAAAGGCTTGCAAAATAAATTCCATAAGTGTTTGATTCTATGATATCTATGATTTGTATCACAAAAATAATTTGAAACAAAATTATTATCTAAGGATTTTAGTGAATTCATCATTGTTTTCATGTTGCCACGGATTACAGATAGTTCTCCATACTGTTTTATTTTTATATTAGATATGTCTTCTAATATAACTTTCACTTGGTTCATGAAACGTTGGGTTTTTAAAATTGGTGTTTTACATAACGGACACTGTTTTAAACATATTTCTTCATCATTTTGGTTCATCCATTTTGTTAAAGCTTCAGATTCTACAGTGTGTCCACAATCTTCTAAGTAAACAAATCTAAAAAATATCACATCAACATTAAATTATGCATAGAAAAATCACACCTGAAGGAAATATTTTATTATTTATTATTTTAACAGTTCTGTAACATGATCTATATTTATAATAATAATAATAATAATATAATATAATTCAGTGATATAGCCAAAGGCGTTAGGTTAGATGTTAAAATATACTTCTTAGCAGTGATTATTTATAAAACATATTTAWGTTTTAGATTCTGAGCGGAGCGATGCATGTATTTAACAATGACTTGTGTTTTTTTATTTTTATTTTTTTTTGTGTCAGTGTACATGATTAGTTGTTGAAATAATGCTTAGATTAAAATCTAAAAACTTTAGTAGCTTTTCTGGTGTGAAAGAAAATCTAGTAAGTACTAGTTTGAAGAGGGCAAATTTCCTAATTTTCAAAAACATCGGAAAAACAACCAAATATTAATGTGAAACGAGAATTTTTACGCAAAATAAGTTTTAACAAAATCGATTTTTGATATTGGTATAATTCTAAAACAAATTACCATAAATAGGTACATGAAATTTTCACTGAATGCTTATATTGGCATTTTGTATACTTGGTAACATTTTCAAAATATTTCAAATCCTTGTAATAAAATGTTATTCATTGGGTCAAAAAGTTTGAAAAAATATATAAGGTTCCCCATATTTTAATATAATAGAAGTTGGAAAATATTAAAAATTACATAGGCACGTTTTATTTTTTATATAACCGTTTAAAGTTAACAATTTGACAACATTTACAAATTATTTAGTTATTCAAAATTTATAAGACATTCAAATTTTATAACTAAGGATTGAAATTTCAAGAGTATACTTAAACAGTGAAACCTGACTTAACGGATACCTGTATATAATGGACACCTCTCTTAACCGGCAAAATGACTAGGTCCCGGCCAAAAGATAGGCATTCTAATGTATTTCAACCTGTCTATAACGGACTCCTTCTATTATACGGACACGGACACTAATATTTTACTCGACAATTTCATAACGGACAAAAATACATACATACTATGTGATAAGAAACGCAATTAGGACATTAAGTGAAAACACGGATTACGACCAATTACATTATCCATATATACATAATCCATAATTATCCATCACGAGTTGGAAATTACCAAATCGAAGCACAAAAAACAAACATCAATAGAAT